GTCAAATATCGCATCAAAATATTTCTGAAAAAAAAGGGAAAAAAGGTACAATACAGAACAATGTAACATTTTCTAACTTTTATGCAAAAGTGGAAATAAAAAATGGATTTAACTAGGGGGTAGACACGTGGAATCAAAACTCATTAAAATCACAGAAATCGCAGAATTCAATTTTTGTGATTTCTTTGATTTCTGTCAAATGTTGTGTATTTTGTACCGCACACACACTATGTCTGCGACTTCTACTATAGGCGCACACTACCACAGTGAAATTAGCTTTGTATATAAGTGTATTTTATGTCCAATATTGAGGTTTGGAATCGAGAAATCACCGAAATCAAAAGAGTCAAAGATTTCATAGAAATCAAATAATTCACACTGGATTCATAGGTGTCTACCCCCTAGGGATTGAATGACATTCGTCATTCAATTATTACTCTTTTTAATTTGAATAAAATTTCCGATTTGAATGGACAAATTTTGATTGTTACATTTATCCAAAAAAGTTCCTATCGTTTATCTTTAACAAATAAATATTACTTATACATACGTAATAAGAGATTATATCTAAAACACATAATTTACATGGTTTTTGCCAAGATCAAATATAATGTTCCATCGGACAGAGGTATTTAGTCTAATGTAATATTATGATTATTTGTATATTTTGTTAAAGTTGGTCATAAAACTTTAATGTTGAATGTTATTGTTAATTTTTATTACTTCCTGTATTTTGCGTCCTTTCCTTTTTCTGCAGAATTATAAAAAGTATGATCCAATTTCTTTCTTCATACTATTAGAGAAACATAAATTAAAAGAATGTAACGGCATTTATGTTACTTCGTATAACCAAATAATTTAGGCACATACACAGAGAGAAGACAAAGTACGAAATAAAGATAAAGAAAAAAAGTTTAATGACCTTCATTTCGGAAACAAATATTTTGCCATAATCACATTCCGAAATGTTAAAAACCAATTCATTGCAGAGAAACCGAAAAGAGATCATATTAAAAAAAACATTTCTCCTGTTGCTTTCTCAACTATAGAAAAATATTCTAGACCAATTGAGGCTATTAACAAAAAAATACCGACAATATTCTGTGCAAACATTTCGTTGTTGGAAAAATTAACCTCTTTTCAACCCTTATTTTTTTCTACTTTTATTGTTTTATGACATTGAAAACATTGGAAAACATCCTTTCAATTCAATGTGTGATAAATTGAACCAATTGAGGGATTTAAATATTACAATAACAAAGACTCTATAGAGATAGACGAAAGACAGTAAAAATGCGTTGGAGAAAAAGAAGAGTAATGGGTGCAATATCATTTTTAAAGAGCGTTTCGAATGCCAATATAAAAGGAACACAGTGTTGAGAAGTGTTGTTATTTTATTGCTATGTCGATAATTAGTTCAAGAGAACTCAAGAGAAGTTAGTTAACTTATATCAGACAATATATTGAACTAACTGGTCAGTTGAGCTGACAGTACGTTAGCCAGCTACATGGACTCAAATGAACAATCACTTCTATTAAAAAAAGAAAAGTGATTCATCATTAAAACAATAACGTCTATTGTTTTAGCCCATTTAGCTGGCTAACGTACTGTCAGCTCAACTGACCAGTTCATTCAATATATTGCCTGACTTATATACATACGTATCTGTCTGATCAAACTCTGAGAATGAAGAAAACACAACAGCATAATGGAAATAAAGCAAAACAAGAAAATATACAGATGAAATGTTTTTAAATTAAACTACTATGAAATACTCAATTGCACTCATTTTCAACACTTCTTTCATTTTCTGTTTCATCTTTGTTATAATGCTATTTACGTCTTAATAAGAAAGAGTTAAATACAATTCGTTTCTAAAATGACCTTGGAATTTGGACTGCGAATTCTCAACATGTGCGAAAAGTCTTATTTATAATGGTCAGTAACTGACAATTGGTTAGACATATCGGCTTTGTTTTACATCTTTCGAATTTGGAAAATGTAATGCAATGATTTGGTTCTTCTTTTTTTCCATCTCTCAAAGTTTAGATTTCAATATTTCACAAACTATAGTCTCATAGGTCAGTAACTTGATTTGTACTTCTTTTTTACCAGTGGACTTAATAATTGTGCACTGTGCACATGCATGTTTAAAAAAAAAGTATGTATACATTTTCTACTCGATATTATCCTATACTAAATTAATGCCAATATTTCTTTACTTTCGAAATAGGGATAGGCAATTAATATTAGATTCTCATTTACTTGGAAAACATAACATAAAATAAAATATAAATGTTTGCTATCTAAATGAAAGATTTCATATAAAAGTGACGAACAAATCATTCAGGTAAGTTCGTATAAACTACGAATATATATATACAAAGTTCCCTTCAAAGAATCGAGATCAGGAATGTACTTTCTAGTCATTCGACGCAATTCTCAAAGATAGCTATGTCAGAAGTATCATTGCAATGAATCATCATTATTATTTTGTAAATATGAAAGAAGTGAAATAAAAACAGTTGGGATTGTTCTTTGAAAAAAATGGAGATTGAAAGTCTTACATCCGCAAATAGAAATATGAAATTTGTTATAAAATTCTTTTGACTTTTCTTTTATTCACATTTTTTAATCGCTGTGTCATCTTGTTTGTATTAAAGTACAAAATTTCAAAAAAAATTTATACATTTATGCTACAAAGATTTCACCAGGGAATTCTGGTCGGCCAGAACAGAAAGCATTTCTATGAATTCAAACATTATGCTTTTCTTTCTCCGTTTTTACTCGCACCAACATTGAACATATTTCAAAATTATATAATAAATGTCGTATTGATATGATGTTATGTATAAAAACATTTTTCCAAATGTAAAAATAGAGTAAAAGAAAAGAAAAAACCAAACCTTTAAAAAATAACAATAACGTGTGAAATTTGATCAAAAGAAATATACATCATACGAAGCTTAGCGAGTAAGTGAAGCTTAAATATTAAAATAATCCACAGATGTCACCAGTTAAAAAATGTTATAGTAGCATTGATTTTGTAACGTTTTTACTTCAAAAAAACTTTTATTGAAGAACTAGGTTGGAAAATCTACACGATTTTTAAAAAAATGTAATTTACGTAGAATATGTATACTCCACATTTTCTACAATACATTGTAGATTATTCGATATTAGATTCAGATTGCCACTGAAAACATTGTCTAAATTTGGTGAGTGAACGAAAAGTGTTTCTATCAAACAATATATTGAATTAACTGGTCAGTTGAGCTGACAGTACGTTAGCCAGGTAAATGGGCTAAAACAACAGACGTTATTGGTTTAATGATGAATCACTTTTCTAGTTTTAATAGAAGTGATTGTTCACTGTCTGGTTTCTATTGAAAAGCCAATAGACACATTCTCAATAAACACTACCAAAAAAATTCTATTAAATTTTTGGTGTTTCGATACAATTTCTGTTGCTTTTAATATGAGACACGAATTGAAGACAGTGCAATTTAAATAAAAGATTTTTCTGCGACACGGGAATCGAAACCGAGATACTTGGCTTGCCGGTCCATTGCTCCTAGCATTGATCTAACTATTAAGCTATCGCCTATCCAATATTCGCATTGCACTGTTTGTTTCTTCAATTCGGAGTTATTCGTTTTGTATATCTCTATTCACAACTGTAGTTCACAATGAACATTAGTTGTTGTGAAATTGGCCGTACTATGAACGGCACCCATGAAACACCGGTGAATAAGACCGTACTGCACAGAGAAGTGCGCAACTTAAATGGTTTTTAGGGAGAATTCCATTGTATGGTAAATGGTACCTATAATAATCGTATTATAAACGGTGCCAAAATTGAATAATCTACAAATTTTGTAGATTACATGGGAAAAAATATGTAATTTACATGGTAGTAATCTACATTTACAAAATGTACAAAATGTAGATTATGTATCAAAGTAATCTACATACCAACCCAGTTAGAGAAATAAAAATAAAACAAATTAAAATAACAGAAGCAAAACAATTCAAATTCTTATCCATTTTTTCATTTTTATTTATTGCCTTTCGATTGTACAAAAAATATTTGAATTTTCGACTTTAATAAATGAAAATAAAAGTGATTAATACTTTAAAATTGGAACTAAATTGAACTTTAGAAATCTTTGGATGTTCCTAGGAATGTTCTTTATCTATTTTTATCAAATCTAAAGTCAATATTTTTTTGCCCGAGCAATAGTCTGCGATTCGAGGTAGATGCTTTTGTGAAAATTGAATCTATTTAGATTGAAAAAAAAAGTTTTAATCCAAATATTTGCAACATTCGGATAGCATCTTTGAGCCAAAAAATGCTTCAAATATTTCTTGTTTCAAGATATTCCTTTTAATCAACTCAACCACCATGAGTCCCTGTATATTAATATAGGGGAGAAAAAAGTCGCAAAATAATGCACCATCTGTTGACGTGGTTATCAATGTATGTAATTACAAAGACGAAATTGTTGGATGGTGTCTTGACTAAATTTTCATATCGGTTGTTTTCAACCACAATTCGCACACGTCACCAGATGGCGTTTTTAAAATATGACATCGCTCAGTCATGGTGGTTGAATCAACGGTGTTCATTTCTGAAAAAAATACTAATAATTATAATAATTTATTTATTTACATATTGTTTTATTTAACACTTTTCCTGGCCGCTACATTCTATGTAATAAGCGTATACTTTCCACTTAGTCCGTTGCAACGGAAAACAAATTTGCATAGAATGCAGCGCCAACTATATGTGAATTTTATTTTTTATCGTTTTAGGCAATAAATCTATGGTTTCCCTATGGCTTCTTTACTTGACAAATAATAAATGTATTTTGTGCAAACTCAATATAATGTGTTTTTTTTTTTCAATTAATTTTCCATAATGATTTTTCAACTTGTTACTTTTCCGCACACATCACTGTTTAACAAGCATCATTTATATTAATGAGAGCAAAAAGGAGTTAGGAGTGGAATAAAAATATTAGATAATACTGCTATGTTTTCCCTTATGTTTTTCTATCCATGGTTGGCTATACCCAAAAAACATTTGTTGTGGCAAATTCATCCATTATCGGACATATGTTGACGGTCAATATTGGGGTCGGATTTGAGTGTAGTTTCAGTCATTTTCAACGTCGCAATGAACAGAGAAAAGAGAAAAAATAAACTCAGTTAGTAATTGAAACTCAGTTAGTAAGTATGAATCAACATCAATATACTATCGGTTCAGTTCAATAAATGATACTCACCTACGGGTTATTTTATATACCGAACTGCCGTACTTCGGTCAAGGCCACAAAACTCAAGCCCAGCTTAGGAACAAAACGTTACAATAATATTGCTTAAAAAGAAATCTTAATGCTACATGTAATTAAAACTGGTCGTCATCGGAATCATCGAGAACATAAACGTAGTCCTCGTCGTCACTAGAATCCTCATCGTCAGCTGCTTGATTTTGTACGGCAGCATTTTGATTCTGTGGTCTCAATAGTTGCGGATGAATGTCCAATCCCAACACCGTACAAAAATCTGAAACCAAAATCGTAAACAACAAATTGTTAGCCAAAACATTTTTAAACATTTTTAATTTCAGTGATCTTTTTTCACCTTTGTAGATGATGTTCTTGGCTGCAACGATATCCCGATGCCAAACAGTTTTCAATTGAAATGGAGCTCGATCATTTTTCCAAATGCCATGTGTTTAGTTGCCAGTTTTTGAAGAATACTTAAAGTTTTGACACTAAACCATCTGAATCCATTGGAATCTGGGTTGGCTGCACTCAATCGATTAACAAAATCAACTGCATATTCGGTTGCTTTTCATGGTGATAATCACGTTCGGTAAATTCCATTGCGATGACTCATCTTCACTTGGAATACAATGCTGACAAACTTTGTAACGATCGCTTTTGGTTCGTCGACCGAATGGCCGGACACATTTTGCACAAGTTTGCGATGTATTGTATTCGTCGACCAATCGTAAGATACAATTTCCCAACTTCTTGAAACTGTTAAATAGTCGTCGTAATCCGGGGCATCGCAATCGCTTCTTAATACCAATTGGCAGAGTATCATGATTTGCTGCTGCTCAGCATATAGCTGAGAGCTGAGAAATGCTGAACTCGTGCGGCTAACGCATTACGATCTTCGTCGCACGTTTTACATCCAATTCAGTGATGAGATTTCCTCGTCGATTCAAATTCAGTTCGTAGCGCCTTAGCGTGAAAAATTTCTTGATGCCACTGAATGCCCATACTTTGATGTTATTTTTCACGTTTGTTATGTACTGGGTAATGAGATGATTGAATGCGTTCCCCATGCCCTCGCAAGCTGGCCAATTTTCTGGACGAAGAATATCAGGACATGCTTGCTCCACAGTTCCTCGAAATGCAAGTGGTAATTTGTGGAAATTTTATTGTAATACCGAGGTGAAACATTTTCCAATTACACCATTCACGTATTTATTGAATTGATCATTCGTGTATTCATCGGATTCATCTTTAAAAAATCATTAATGAACAAAAACATTAATGACGCCAGAGTCGTAATTATTGTGGCCGAAAGGCACCAGTATGTGACCTGATCGATGAATCGTGCACGATATTTCTCCCGCAGCACTTGATTTGGAGTCATCTTCAACGACGTACTGCGCCCATTCTTGACTCTCTTTCTTCTCATCATGACAGATCTATTGTACAAAAATGAAAGAAAAAAATGCACCAAATATAGCATAGATCACAAACACAATAAGATATGAACATTTATATCACAAATCAAATGAAACAGTAATGAAGAACGCATTATAAAGATCACCTCTTACCTCAACAAAGTGACTCTGTATTCTAAATCGAATGATGAAATTTATTTCCAATGTGACATCAAATATTTTGCCGATCGAAATGTTGTTGGAATATTCACAGTAAATTCTATCAACACTCTGTTATTTCGAAATTAAAACAAAGACAGTCACAAAACCAACTGTGAATATATATCCATTCCACAGGGAACAGCATTCCGAACACACAAAATCGTTTTTGAAATTGACAATAAAACCAATTGATCGCCCAAACCACGCTTCAAACACTCTCATATAGTTCTCAAGAAATCCTATTGAAAACAAAACAAAGTTTTATTGTAAACAAAATCGGTTGGTGCGATAGATGTTTATACTAACAATACTGTCACACGATGCGAGCACATTTTTAATACATATAAATGAATATCTTTGGATTTGGTTTGACACATATACACCGCGCGAGTAGAAAAATGTCAGTTGCATTTCGAAAATTCAAAATAATATTTCCACAAATAAAGAAAAAAATGTAATGAATGACTAGTAAAAGAGTTCTTCTGCAGAGTTTTAAATTAAATTATGCATATCTCTTTCCGAATAAATTGTTTAACCGTTTAACGTTACATTTTTCAACGTTAGAATGTTCTAAAAACATTACAAATTTGTTTGCTATAGCAAAAACTACATCAACAATAATTGAAACAAAATATATGCTTTGGAAAACACTTGTTCATAAATCGAATTTATTAATTGGGAAATGTGTCGCGTATGAAAACTATTTTCAGTTCAAGAGCTCAGGCTAATTGTTCTGTTATTGCTTTTGATAATTGGTGTTATAGAATTTTTCTTTCGCAATTAATCTCATTGCTTTAAGGCATATAATTATAATTCCCCGATTATACACTCACAATCTTGAAAATGGCAAATGGAAAATTGTATTCCGACTCGTATTCTCATCAGCATACGTCCTCAAGGGAAAAATTTAAGGGGGGGGAGGGTAATTGAAAAAAATCGAGAGGGGTAAGCAAAAAAGTGAAGTGTCTCCTCACTTTTTCGGCGAAAGTCCCTAGCAAATTTAAATAATTTTTCTTACATTGAAAACAAAACTGAGGAGCAAAAAAAAAGGTCCTCACTTTTTTTGTGAAAATCCCCAGCAAATTGAAAGAATTCTTTGAAAATTTTGAAGGGGTAACACTTCGTCAGGGGGGGTAATCGGACCCCTCGGACCCCTGCTGAGGACGTATGCTTATCAGCCGAAATTTAAGCGATAATTGTGACGAGCAAATACGGTATTAAAAGACCACAAAATGACAGTTTTATCATGACAAAAAAGAACATTTTTGTCCATTTTTCGAAGCTTTCGTTCACTTTCCAAAAAATTGCTTTTACCACAACCACTTGTTGAAGGATTTATCAACAACAAAAAAAAATAATTTCATCAAATATGATTTTCAAATTATACATCACTTACTTTTTTCTATGATCATTTCAAAATTGGCAATCAATTTGAAAAAAATGTTTCATTCGGATTATAATCAATGAAAATGAAATAGCCGTGCCCAATCCAGTCATCCATATAAAGAATCCATATACACACTAACGGTCTTGGCTTCGATTAGAAAACATATAGCTGACGATATTAAATGATCCAAATTGAAAAACTTGTCAATGGAAAATATTTTGCTTTGCCAGCAACTAGTGAGAAGCCAAGAACTACTGTAAATTTTAATTTGTCTTACATCTTATATATGCTTTGCTCTCGCTTGTTAAATTCTACCTGTTCATCAAATATTTATTTACAATCAAAAATCTACATATTCTGCGTTGGAAAATTTACACGTTTTTTGGTTTGTAAAATAAGTAAATTACGTAATTTACGTCGAAATGTAAAAAATCCAACATATCTATCTGGAAATTTGATTTAAAAATTGGTTGAATTGATAAATGATGCATTGTTTATAAGTGGAAAACAGAGTTATAAGATTTGACGAAAGTCAATTCTCGAATGAGAAGGAAGCAAAGCGTAAAAAATTTCTTCTCAAACAACATTTTGGTACTTCGCTGGGCAGTAAGATCATGAAAAAGTGTCCATTTTCGCTTCGAAGGTGATGAACATAGCATGACATACATGTCAACTCAAACGAATATTTTCCCATGGGTAGTTTGTCCACAACGAAATACGTAACAGACTTTCTGAAGACCATTCAAAGGAATCGATAAATATTTTACTTCTTTTTGACACAAACAGTGTTTAATTTAATGAAATTTTTTTCATTAAAACAAACAACTAAAAATAAAATATAAAAATTTAAATCTATTTTTGAAGAAAGCTGTGTAAAACGGAATTTTGAAGAGAAAATTTACAATAATTTCCTTTTGGAACGTTGATATTTGAATTTTCATTAAGCAAATAGTTATTTTCAAAGTCGACGTGCTAATTCGACCGGGTAATTTACTTACGTAAATTACGGTAATAATTACATGTAATAATATTTTTCGTACCAACCCAGTTCATCTTGTTTGTAAGCGATATACGTACTGGCAAAACTTCGATATACAAATTCATAAGTATTGGCGTTAGCATCGATATTGGCTAATTAGCATCCGTGTGTTTTAATATTCTATATAAGAAGCAACCCAATCGAAACTTGCGTAGAATAGTTTGTGTATTTGTTTGTAAGAGTTCAAAAGAATAGTGAATAAAACAACATAAAACTTAAACTATCTTCAATTTTAATCGATCACAGTTTTTGTCTTAATTTTATTTTTGCAAATTGTACGGTTAACTAATTCTGAAGAAACAAAAAATGAATAATGCAGCATTATATCAACGTTCAAACGGCTTGCAACGATATGATGTGCAACAAGTGCTCAAATTTTTTTCACATGTATTGAAATGGCGACCAGATGGCTGTGATTCTTTGCTTGATATTGGATGCGGCAGTGGTGATGTTACGATCGATTTCATTTTGCCCATTTTACCGAAGAATTTCAAACGTTTAGTTGCAGTTGATTTATCAAATGATATGATTCAATATGCACGTGAAAATTACATTCTCCCGAATATTTTCTTCAATCAATTCGATTTGGGAACTGATGTGGACAAGCAATCTTTACGTGAAATTGAGAAATTTGATCATATTACTTCATTTTTTTGTTTGAATTGGGTAAAAAACCAACAAACTGCAGTGCGCAATTTTTATAAGCTGCTGAAACCAGGAGGTGATTTTTTAGTGCTTTTTGTCGCATATCATCCTATATACGATTTCTACAAGAAGCAATCTAAAAGCAAAAGGTGGTCCGAATACATGGCTGACGTCGATGAATTTATCTCACCATATCAATATTCGGAAAATCCAGCTATTGAGTTTCGTGACCTCTTAACTGAGTGCGGCTTCTCAAAAGTTAACGTTGAAACGCTTGAAAAGTGCTACACATTCAATGGAAGTGAAGCTAGAAGTAAAATGAAATATATACACTAGCCTGAAAAAGTTTGAGACCACCTATGTATTTTCTCATTCTGAGAAACATATGAATTTTGGCATATTTGTCTCTACATCTAATGAAGAACAAAATAGTGAATCTTCATGAAAAAGTATTTAGTTCAATGATATCAAAAAATTACCAATTTTATATGAAAACAGAACATTGAAAAATTCGGATGATTACAATTTCAAAACTAGTAAATATTTTTTCATGAATATTCACTATTTTGTTCTTCATTAGATGCGCAGATAAAATGTCAAAAATCATAAGTTTCTGAGAATGGGAAGTATATTTTTCGGATTGACAAAAATTGACATAGGTGGTCTTAAAATGTTTCAGGGTAGTATTTATAACATTAAAATTAATCGTACTCTGTGTTTTATAAAATGTCTATCTTTTCAGATGCTTTCAATTCGTTAAATCCATTCATCGATCGCATACCGGCTGAAAATCGACAAGAATATTTGGATGAACTTATGAATCTATTTGTGGATGCGGGATTTGCAATCGATGAGGACAACAAAACACGTCGATTTGCTCCAATGTATAAACTTGTGGTTGCATATGGTACCAAATGATGACCACTTGTTCTGAACCAAGATACAATTTTCCACAAAAAGTTTGGCTTTGAAAAAGATGCTATTTTTATAATTTTTTGGGACGGGTTTTTTAAGGACATACGTAAAACATATGTGTAAAAAGTCTTTGGAATAAATTCAGAAATTCATGCCATTTGAACAACAAACACATAATATTAAATTCGTTTTTATTGGTATAAACCTTTATTCATAGGCTATCGAATAGCACATTCATTTTACACTTAAAAGGCCATTGTCTTCGTTTTTTCTCAGCAGGGTGTAAAATAAGGGTGAATCAAGCAGAAAATGTAAATCAACGCATGGAAATGTGAATCAAGACATCCGGTTTCGTGAGTCAAGAAAATGTTTTAAATTAAAAAATCAAAAAAATTAAATTCGCGAATCGAAAACAAAAATACACTGCCAGTTTTTGGCCGTAGGGCTTAATGTAAAACATGGGACCGTACTACTAACCAGTAAAGTGCACAAAGTGTTACTAAAAGTTTTTAATTTCACCTATATGGATCGATATAATGTGCCGAAAAAATAAATTTGTGAAAATAAGGGGGGCCCAATCGAAATAGGGGGGGGGGGGGGCAGGGGAGTACCCCACCATGCCAAAATTTGGTCGGATCAAAAAATAATGTACTACGAAGTTGTTCAGAATGACGAGAGAAATTTTTTATGACCCCTGCCCTACAAGTTCCACCACCCCTCAGGGGGGTCAGGGGTCATAACTCTTCACCCATGATTTTTTTCACTCAAAACTACGAAATGATATTCGTATCGTGCCCATTCACCCCACGTCTCCCAACAATTCAGAGCCGATGGGTAAAATGATGAAAAGTCGATTGTTCACTTTTTGGGTGCGAAATTTCGCAATCAAATATATGGCCAACTATAGCTAATTTTAGTCGCACATTTCATTTAGGCCATTTCCCATCCCCTCCCTTCACCCCCAAGGGGGGTCCCCCTGCAAAATTTTCGAAAATTTCGAAAAATACCCCGAAATTGGGTCCATACCCCATCTAACCCGAAAATTAATTATATATTCGGATTCCTCGTAAAAAATTACCTATAGGCTCCATACATTGTCAATCTCTCTTGACCTACAATTT